TTCCACACAATAAAAGAAACAAAAAATGATGTAATAACAGTATTATCCTATCTTTTAAAAAAAAGTGTCATCTATCGAAAGTTCGGGAAATAGCTGTTTACTTACTCACGAAAGTGCAGGTCTACTTTTACGCCTTTCATTATTTATATATGTACAAATATTATACACATGGATACATAAAATATGAGAATGTAAACACTTAAGTTTTACTGAGGCGATGATAAAATGTGAAAACAAACAATAACAAAAAATATCAGAAGCGAAACAACACTGTCTTCAAGTATAACGTCATTCCTCTTACACAATAAGAATTCTTTATTCAAAATTACACATTACCGGAACAAAATAGTTCTTGCTTGAGTTAACTTAAAGGATGCCGATGGCGTTCTTTCGAACATTAGCTAAATTACACATGTACTGTAAGTGGGTTACACACAGGGATATCAAATTGTTTATTTTCTTATATTCACACAAAGCTACTATACGGTTATCAGAACTAGGTGTCTCTAATCCTGAATTGAAAGATTGTAATGGAGGTAGCTGGTCAACAGCACCCACCGCCAACTGGCAGCCTACTCTTGTCTGACCTAACAGGGAGATTTGACCGCCACTCTTATAACGCCCTCACGGCCCCAAACTGTGGAGCGATATATTATTATTATTTTTTAATGCGGTAACGGGACACAACTTCATAATCTGACAAACAAATCATTGGGCCACTATCGAGGTTAAGAACAAGTCAGAAAATTGTTCTCCCAGTTCTTCTTTATTGTTCCTACATGTTTAGCATCATTATGTAAACTGTCGATGAGGAGGACGGTTTGATTCTGTTGCTATATTTATTTAAACACTTACACAAACATCAATATTTGAATTCTTTTGTCAATCTTCACAATGTCCCCCGGTGGGACAGCGGTAAGTCTTCGGATTTACAACGCAAAACTCAGGGGTTCGATTCCCATCGGTAGACACAGCAGATAGCCCGATGTGGCTTTGCTATAGGAAAACACACACACTAACACAATCTTCACTCACAATTACGTCCTGAACTTTTATTAAACCAGTTTTACAGCAAGGCCGACCTTAGGGCGAGGCTACTGAGGCAACCGCCTCAGGCCCCGCACCCTTCTAAGGTCGGCCCTATTTTTTCGGAAACGTTTTGTGTGCATGGTGTACGCATATTAGTTTAACTACTCTTGTTCTTTATTCTAATAAGTTCCCCTGTGGCTCAGTGGTAAGCCTGCGGACTTATAACGCTAAAAATCTGGTGTCGATACCCGTGGTGGGCATAGCACAGATAGCCCATAGTGTACATTTATGCGTAACTACAAACAAATATCTTTAGTAACCGTTATATTAATTCTCTAGACTTCTATCATATATTACTACTTTAAGTTACTGATGAGTCAAATATTCAAACGTGCTAGATATATTTATGTTTATCTTCGATAATAATAGTTAGCGAGCCCGAACTGTGTTTCTGTTGTCGCAAAAATGCGCTCCGCACTTTGGAACTATGGATGTGCGATAAGAGTATCCGTCAAATCCCACTATTCAGTTACACAAAAGTAGGGAAAAAGTTGGCGGTGAGTGCTGTTGACTAGCTGCCCTCCTTCTAGTCTATCAGTTCAAAATTAGAGAAAGCTGTGGGGATATATCCCCTGTGTAGCTTTACGCGAAAATGATAAAAACTAACAAACAATAAAATTCTTCAGTAATGGTGTAGGTATCATATACCTTACATTTTACTGGACTTGGCTGTTTTACTGATAATCTAACATAATTCGACATCTTCCAAACTTTTTGCGAGTTAAGTTTAAACCTGCCAAGAATAAAAATAACTTTGTTTGTTTGTAGTTAAGCATAAAGCTACACAATTGGCTATCTATTCTCTGCCCACCACGAGTATCGAAACCCGGTTTCTAGCAGTGTAAGTCCGCAGACATGCCGTTGACAAGTCTGACAAAGTCTAAAACATTAATAGAAAAGAAAAATACAGTCTCAGCAAATGCAAATTCAAATACCATAGCTGCTTGTGTAAATGGCAAACAGAGAAAACAATATGACAAACTGAACCTGTCAAACAAAGTATTGCATCAAGTTGTACGGCAGAAAAATGGTAAGGAAAACTGTACAAATCAGACAAATCAGCAAACTACACAGACAATGCGATACGGAAAGTTACACCAGTCAGACAGAGAGGTAATGCAAATTG